CTGGATGATCTGGAGAATGGTTTTGCGGGGTTCTGTGAGAGGAGTGAAGGCTCTGTCAGTCCTAGGGGCCATGATTTCATGGCAGGTTCCGGACGAGACCCTCGTACTGATCCGGGTGGAGAGCAAGCGCGTGGGCAGTCCCAAGCTCGGGGTGAATATGCTCGCTGCCAGAGCGAGGACTCGCGCTTCCTCTTGGTTGGTGAAGCGGAACGGTTTTTCCTTGAGGGGCCTGCCTCCTGCATTGTCTCGTCTAAGGCGATGTACTTAGAGACTCGTTCCTGAAGGTCCATCATATTTCGAGAACGTCGTTTTATGAATGATGCCTTGAGGAGGGCATTATTTGTTCCGAAGGTAAGAGCATGAGTCGCATTCTCTGTGGTGAGGTGGGTGACACCGACAACAATAGTGCTGAATCGGGCGTAATATTCCTTGAGGGTCTGGTGCTCCCTCTGCTTAGTACTCATAACGCGAGAGATATCTACATTCAGCCTCTTTTGGGCAAAGAACTTGGCCCTAAAGAGAGTGGCGAACTTCTCAAAATTGGTGATCAAGCCATTGCGCAATTGGGTATACCACTGAAATGCCATCCCTTGGAGAGTGGTGGGAAAATGCTTGCATATGGTGGCATTTGGCGCTCCTACAAACGACATGAGGATCTGGAAAGCGCTAGGGTGGTCCTCCGGTTCAGAGGTCCCGTTGTACTCCAAGAGATGATGGGGTAGTGGAAAATTAAGAGGATTAGGCTGTTCTAGAATGGAGCAAGTGAGCGGCTTCCCGCATCCAGGATCCCAGAGGTACCTGGGTGTGAGATGCACCTCGAGGTAGGAGAAATCTTCCAATCGGGGAGGAGGTTATGCCGCCGGCGTTCCATTGGGGTTGGCCGATGTCCTGGGAGTCTCGGGAGGGTGGATGGAGCTAGTGTGATGCCCGATTGGCGGAGCAGCGTATGTTAACGTATGAACCTGAGTTTTGAGTAATTCGGTATGAGCTTCCAAGTCTTAAAAGGAGGGTTGGACAGTGGGCTCCTTTCCTTGATCGCTTCCGTCTTGGGGATGAGGGGAGTTCCGAGAATCCATCACGAGTCGGATGTGAGCGTCGAAATTTCTACAGAGCCTTACTCTGGGGCCCCACAGTGGGCGCCAATTGTTGATGCCGAGGTTGTCGCCGACGTCAGATTCCTTGCTACGGACCAATCACATTACATCGCATCGTGATGCCGACTCCCACCACCTCCTATAAAAGGTCCGCTGACCGATCTCAGCGGGAACACCCTTCGACGCTCAAGTCAGTATCGAGTGATAAGTTGAGGAAAATAACGAAGTTAAAGATGTAGGGTAGGAGACGAGGGCCTGGGCGAGCGATAACTCCGGTCGCTAATAGTAGCAGACTTTTCAAGGGGGCTCGCCGAGGCCTTTTTGCGTACCTTTGCCGAAAGACGAGAGGCACCTTTTATAGTGGACGTCCGGGGGACAGCGGAGGACACGCGACGACGACAGTTATATTGGGTCGACACGTCGGAGGAGGAGGTGCATCACCTCATGCGTTCGCTCGCCACGTGCCATGCTCTCCCGTGCCATGTCTAGGCGCTCATGGCATATAGCAGGTCATGACCCAATAAGGGTGCCACGTAAGAGAGAAGACTAGAGTAAGTGAGCGCTGAGGGTGGTGAGCGTCGTAGGGAACAAGACCGGTGAGCGCCGTCGGCGATGAGCGCCGAGACGGTGAGACCGGTGAGCGCCGTGGGCGGCGACACCGGTTGGAGTCGTCGGCGATAAGCGTCGTAGGCGGTGAGGCCGGTGAGCGCCATGGGCAACGAGACCGGTGTGCGCCGTCAACAAGGAGCGCCGAAGGCGGTGAGCGTTGTCGGCGACGAGACTGGTGAGCGTTGTCGACAATGAGCACCGAATGCGGTGAGCGCCGTCGGTGACGAGGCCGGTGAGCGCTGTCGACAATGAGCCCCAAGGACGATGAGTGTCATGGGCGGCGAGACTGGCGAGTGTCATCGGCGATGAGCAACGTGGGCGGTGAACTCATGACGTGGTAGAAATGTTTTTACATGGGGTCCACCATTAGCCAAACCTTAACTCTCCGCTGGCAATTCCGTTAGATGATGGTGAGTTAGCAAAAGTTATGATAAGGTGGAAGAAATTTTATTATGTGGCAGTTAACAAATGATGTCACATCAACCGGTCAACTTAGAAAATATATTAGTTATTTAATTATTTAAAATAAAAATATTTCCCCTTTCCCAATAATCTTGTTTTCCCAAAAATGAATTGGAAAACCCTTCTCCGTCGGATGCTCCTCCAGCCGCTCAGTACAAAATCTCATCCCCCACTTCTCCACCTCACACCACACTGATCTTCCTATCTCATCGCTCTCTCTCCCGTCATTCGTCTTCCAACTCTCTTCTGGACGGTGAGAGGCCGAGGCAAGCGGAGCTAGTTCCAATGACGGATCAAGAGAACTGTGCTCCCTTCACTCGCGCTGCAAGGAAGAGGGCTGTGGTGGCGGTGACGACGCCAGCGGATGCGGAGCAGAGGAAGAAGAGCAAGGTGGTGCTGGGGGAGCTTCCTCAGGCGGCAGACGTTGGAGCTATGGTGGTGGATCTAACTTCCGATGACCGGCTAGAGAAGTAGAAAACCAAGGCGAAGGGGAAGGCTAAGCCGAAGACTAAGGCCAAGAAGGTTGTTGCTCCAGTTCCGGAAGTTGAAGTTCCGGCGGGCGAGTGCTTCTATTGGTGTTATAATCAGACGGTGGATGTTCAGATAGGAGGGAGGTAGGTGGGAAGAGGAAGGGGATAAGGAACGATAGTTTCTCTTTTTCTATTCTATTTTTTTTATTTTTTAAAATTATAAAGAAAAATAAAAATTATTATAATTAAGTTGGTGCTGAAGTGTCGGCTTAGCTGTAATTCCGTCCAACAAACCGTTAGTGTTAACCGATTATTAGCCATGGTGGATCTCGAAAGATATGAAAGACCTCCCTCCAAGCCGTACATACGACTTTCGTCGAATACGGCTTTCCACAGAATTCTATATGTATCTATGAGATCGAGTTGGTGCACTTCCCTTCTGTTCCCGGGCTTTGACGTAAGGCCTGTAGACCGAGCCTCATATCCCTGACTTCAGAGTCTTACAGTCTTCTTTCTTCTCCCTAATTTTAACTCGGAACAATAATTATAGCTATTAATTTATATTTTGATAGTTGTTACTATAATTTTCGGCTACTTAATAATTGTGGCTAATATATTTTATTTACCCTTCTTTTATTCAAAATACCGAATTCTTAACACGTCTCTTTTTCTTCATGCCGCTTGGCATGATATATACCCAAATCACTTGGTAAATCTATTATAATAAAAGTGGAAAAGTCCAAATGGAAGAGGAATCGAAGTCCTGGCGGCGGAGGTGGTTTGGCAACAGAGGTGGTTGTGGAGGGCGACACGGCTATCACGATCTCAGCATCATTGTCCACAATCAAGCGGATTTGGTTTGAAGTGCAGTTACCGGCGGCGGAGGCAGTGCAGTTTCCAGCGGCGGAGGTACTTTGGTGGCGAGGTGTTTGGAGGGGCTATGAAGCTCTCGTTATTTGTTAAGATGAAGAAGATTAGGGATTATTAAGCAGGACCGCTTGGGACAAAGACGGAGGAAAAGAAATCGTCGGCGACCACAGTGTGAAACCTGCGAGAGATGGCGGCAAGAGCGCTGAATTTGGCCCGAGAACGGTGGAGAATTGGCGAAATGCTTCTGAGTGGGAACTTTGGATTTCCTAAAACTGCACCATTTTCGGATCACAGATAAGTAGTTCTTTTATCTTGTATGTCTAGCGGTGCTAACTATCTATTTTCTGCATCTATTGATTCCGCTACACATAGCATAAACCATAAAACCCCTTCGGCAGAGATGATCGTCGGCTCCCTTTGGGGGTTTGAAAACTCGGCTTCTGGTTCGATTGCGAGTAGAGTCGCAGATGGTTCCGAATTTCCTCTTTGATTGTTTACCAGGATTCCCTAATTTCATTGTCAAGATGGTTGGGAAGATGGGGCATGTTCACTGTGCCTGGTTTGAGGTCGGTTCTGATTAAAGCGCACAGACGTTGATCTGCCATATCCTTTTCCGACTCCGACAGTTACGACTTATGACGAGTCTTTTCCGGCGACGACGAGGGTTGAAATGCGGTTCCATTTTTCTGGCCGTTATCTTCCACGTTCCACTCGTGAAGGGGTTTCTCAGGAGTTGCGGGACGAACGACCAGGCTAGTGGGCTGCAGTTACACCTCCCGTGACTTCATTCTTGCCCAGATCGAGGATCCTAACCTACGTTCAGCTAAGTCCATTAATTTTTTCTTAACTTTATATTTAATTATTATTATGTTTACACTTGTGTTTGGTATTTTTGATGGAGTTGCAATGGTTTTGTATTCAGATGTCTCTTAATGCTAGTGAGGATTTGCTTGTGGTCGGACATGGAGTATATTTCCTCGACTAGTTGGTTTTGGCATATTTGTTTTTGTGTTGCAGATGGCATAGTTCGTATAGTTTGTGGAGCATTTGCGGTGGAGGTCCGGTGGTATTTGAATTTTGTTTGTCCTGTTAGGGGTCGTTTGTGTGTTATTTTGCAGGTGCCAGGTAGCTTGCACGTCAAATCTACTGCTAGGCTATTGGAACTCGGCATATAAGCGATAGGACGTTTATACTCGATGGATTGGTGCTTCAATGAGCTTGTCGAAAGAAGACTTTATTTGCGTTTAGTCGTTTATTTATGTTACTAGGGATACTTAGAGGGTTGCCCATCTCGTGGCATAAATGACCCTTGCATCGGTAGCAACCCTTTTGGTTGACTACCGCCCTTTCATTTTCAACGTACTGTAATACCCTATCTATTACAAACTATCTATGACAAAAAAAAATACCGAATTCTTAACTCCTGCTTGTACGGGTAAAGTTTGATTACAAAATAGTATTTACTCAAAATTAAATTAAATTTTCATCTAATACACAGAGATTCTTCCTTAGTTCCTTATCCACTTCGCGAGATGTGGCCTCCGGCGTTCTCGGACTCAGATTGATTTCTTCATCAAATTCTTGAATGGGAACAGTTCTCTACTACTCCTTGGGCATCTCTCGAATTGTTTGTTTCAGAGTCGCCGGCGGCTGTTCGTCGTCTTTGATCGGCGTTTCCAGAACAGCAGCTCTAGATCAACTGGACAAGGAGCTTTCTTCTGGAAACGAAAGAGCAGCTCTCTCTCTCGTCAGAGATTTGCAAGGAAACCCTAATGGGCTGCGATGCTTCGGCGCTGCACGACAGGTTCGATTGGGAATGTTGAAACTTAATCCTCAATCTATTCCGAGTCCCATCTTAGTTGGGAACCCTTTTGCAGGTACCTCAAAGGCTGTACACATTGGACGAGCTGAAGCTGCATGGGATTGAGACGGCTTCTTTATTGTCGCCTGTGGATGGGACACTGGGTTCTGTAGAGAGGAATCTGCAGATTGCTGGTGTTATTGGTGGAGTTGCAGCTTCGAATGCATTTGGGTTTAGTCCTCAGCAGATTTTCTACTTCTCCTTGGGGCTGTTGTTCTTATGGACGTTGGATGCTGTAAGTTTCCTGGTCTTCATGGTCCCTTGAGATTCTATTGCATTTGTTGATTGGTGGAATTTAAGAGTTCATTTCAGCAGCGATGTAGTCACTTAACTCGACTGTATGTATATCGTAAATCGTAATTGGCGTCGAATTTGTAAATGAGGTCACTGAAACACAGCATTTTCTTTTGCAGTCTTACTTTCATCTTGCTGCCATATGACATAACTCGAAAAGGTTACCGAGCAAGTTGAAATGATATGGATTATTTATCAGGTCGATTTTGTTATTTTAGTCGTCTCGGTACTGAGTTCAGTGTCACTAACAGGAGTTCTTTGACCAGATTTGGTATTTAGTCCAAAATCCTGCAATATGCTCCAATAGAACTTTAAGTTGAAAGAAAGAAAAAGGTTTGCAATATTTTTCTTATGTTTAAGATTTGCTTTTGTTGGGATAATCTGCAGGTATCATTTAATGGAGGACTAGGCAGCTTAGTTCTTGATACAATTGGGCACAACGTCAGTCAGAAGTATCACAATAGGGTCATCCAAGTGAGCAAAACTCTTTGTTTCCATTCTTCTCTATGTTTAACATGCATTCCCTCACAGCTTTGTACTCTTGACTCTGCAGCATGAAGCTGGACATTTCCTGGTTGCATACTTAGTTGGTGTTCTTCCGAAGGGATACACCTTATCCAGCTGGGAAGCTTTGCAGAAGGAAGGATCGCTCAATGTCCAGGCTGGGACAGCCTTTGTGGATTTTGAGTTCCTCGAAGAAGTAGGTAGCTGCTGCTAGGTTATAATCTTCTGATCTAAAATATAAGCCTGGTTACCATGTTCCAACACTCTTCAACCTTTTCTCATGGGGAAATGCAGGTGAATTCGGGCAAAGTCTCTGCCACGGTATGTATTCGAGGCCTCTTCTGAATTTCATATCCCTATAGCTAGTTGGACTGTCTGTGTTTCCGGGTATAGCCTACATTTGACAATATGATTTTAGAACATATATTGCTTGGACTCCTCTTGTGGTTATCAGACTGCGAGCATTTGATTACCCGTTACAATCTGTCACAAACCAATTCGGTTAAGATTAGAATTTCACTTTTTAATGAGAACCAGACTGACTGTAGCTAAATTCACAGAGAAGAATTTAGGCAAAAATTTGGTAAGGTGTTAAATCTCATGATTATACAGGTCTTTTGGTCTGGTGTAATCTGCAATGACATGGAATATATTTATATGGTGACTACTTCGGTGCACTCACAAAAATGAGTGCGTTCAATGCATCCAACTCAAAAACTAGTCTTAAGGTGTTAGATTTTGAATTTTAATTTGTAGAATTAGTGTAATATGATTATATAACATATGTTAACAACTAATTAGCTGATTATCCTAAGCCCTAGACCTCCAATTTTGAGTTAAATCCCTAAACCCCAAATTGTAAACCCAACCCTAAATCTCTAAACTCTAAATCCTTCAAATTAAAGTAAACATTTAATGATTTTTATGCAAATTCATGTGCGTTATTGTTCATCACATCATAAGTGATGATTGACATCATTTTGACATAAATCACATGTTTAAAATAACGGTTATGAAGTGAGTGCACTGAATGCATCCAAAAAATTGAGTGCACCGAATACGCTACCGTGTATATATATGGTAACGACGGATGTACTTTTGAAGTATACCATATATATAATTTTTTTATGCAGTTTACTTTCTTGAATATGACCGAGTCAATCTAAATGCACCATAATAAGCAACCTTGCTTGCCTGGAGTAGAAGGTATTTGGGAAATTGCAAGTCTGCTCGTTTTCCCCCCTAACTCGGTTTCCTATACAAATGAACTAAACATACAAATACATCTCATACAATAGTATGTCAATTGAAATAAATAAAGTCAATATTACAATGCATCGAACCAATTATAGTTTCAGGCTTTGAATTTATCTGATGCGGGAATTCCCCTGGTTGGTTTTGATAGACTCTGAACAGATTTGCATGTATAGCACTAGCTGGTGTAGCAACTGAGTACATCTTGTATGGTTATGCCGAGGGAGGACTTGCTGACATAAACAAGGTCACATTTTCCTGAGCACTTGCCTCGAGCTGTTCTTGTGTATAAGCTTGCGAATCTAGTTGGTTTGTTAAATCTCTTTTTCTTCCCATCTGAAATTCGCAGCTGGATATGTTGCTCCAAGGGCTTGGTTTCACACAGAAGAAGGCGGACTCCCAGGTCAGATGGTCGGTTCTGAACACCGTCCTGTTATTGCGCCGCTATGAACGAGCTCGTGCTAACCTTGCAGATGCGATGTCGATGGGAAAATCGGTAGGCTATTGCATTGGTGTTATAGAGGATAGCGTTGATTTCACAGATATCTAGTTGCTGTTACAATAGCCGTTGTAATTATGTTTTCTTCGTGTTACTTTCATTCGTGTAAAGGATCAAATGCCCATAGGTACGATACGTTCCAATGTAGTTACACTATCTAGGACTTCAACATTTGGATCTATATACAAGAAAAGAAAGGAATGTTTGATCAAAGTAATATTTTAGTTATGAGAAAATTTCTTGGTGGTCTCCGGTGAAGTTGTAAGTGTAACATGCAAGTCTGAGTTAGGCGTTCTCGTGAGTTTATAAGATATTTATAGGTTGGAGTAGCTTTTGACGTATGGGCTGAGATACTCTGGTATTGATCTTAACTAATCCGTCAATTATAGCTTAATTATTAATAATTTTAGCAACTATTGTATTAAAATTTGGAAGTGGATTAGCACCCTACTAAATACTTATTATAAGAGTATATTAGTAACTGTCCCCTTTTCCTTTCTCTTACCCTCCTTCTTCCTCTTCTTCTACGTTGTTTTCATTGGTTTTCACATACAAAATTATAATTTTAGTCCCTAAACTTAATGGATTTTTATATTTAGTGTCTAAATTATTTTTTTTACATGTAAGCCAAAACCTTTTCAAAGCCCCACTATCTCCTTTGGGACCTGTCCCTAGCCTCATTTTCTCTTTTCGAAACTTGTCCCCTGCCTTTTGTATCCAAATCAACCCCATCCCATCCCGCCCCTTCCTTTTCGATTTGTTCCCTCTTCAATGTCTTACCCTCTCCCTCCCTTTTCTTTCCGACTCTACCTCATCCCCTCCCCGCTGCACCTGTTGTCTTACCCCCTGAATCTTCCTCTCCTGATCTTTGCTCTACTGATGTCTCGGATCATGATCGTGATCTCGAGCAAGACTGCATGGAGATTGTTGTTTATCAACCCTTGGATGGGGATTTTTTCAAGTCGTGGCGGGCAGAGCAAGATCTCAAACGCATCCTTGAGGTGGGCAAAATTTTTAAGCACCTTTTGAAAATCAACTCGGAACCCTTGTCAGAAGATGCAGAGCGACAATTTGAGGAGCTGGCAACATCTACAAAGGGCAGAAAAAAGAAGGAGCACAAAACTAGACTTAAAATGGAATTACATCGTTTGGGTTCCCAACAAGATTGTGCTACAACCCCCCGTCGGGGTAGGCGATTCTGTAGGAGTGGGGCGAGTTGCCAATCTAGTGACTAGAGCTGTTTGCCTGCATGTCTGTTCTCTCTTCCTGTCTTATGTCGTCGATCCTGGCTTGGAATGTGAGAGTGTTGGGAGACCCTGCCAAGAGGGCTAGAATTAAGGCTATTATTAGAAGATGTCGTCCCTCTATAGTTGGTTTGATTGAGACAAAGTGGAGGTCCTGTTCGCAATATCTCATTTCCTCAGTTGGTGGCAGGAGGTCTTCAGGCTGGGAGGCTAAGAACGCTATTGAGTCCTGTGGAGGAATTGCGATCTTTTGGGATAGGAGTGAGTTCGAGTTGGTGGATAGTTGGGAGGGCAGATACTCGCTTGTTGTTCGTCTTAAAAAGGTTCGAAATGAGGTGGTTGTGGCCATTGTCATGGTCTATGGCCCCCATGAGAGAGATGGTAAGTTGGCTTTCCTTCGTGAATTGAATATGGTTTGCCGGACCTATAGCGCCGCGATGTGCATAATGGGAGATTTTAATCTTGTAAGATCTGAGGAGGACTATAGGGGGTGTTCCGCGGTGCAAGGATATGATGGTTGAATTTAATTCCTTCATCAACAATAATGCTTTGATTGATCTACCGCTCTCTGGGGTTGCCTTTACTAGGAGTGGAGGTGGAGTTAACGCCTCGCTCTCCCGCATTGATCGTGCCTTAGCTAATACAAGTTTTGAAGAATCCTTTTCTCCGGGCCCGCTACAAGTGTTCGAGCGGGTTGAATCTGATCATAATCCAATCGTTATGCGTTGGGGTTCTGACAAACATTTGCACCGTCCGTGGATTTTTGAGACATGTGGTTGCTGGAGGAGTCTTTATTGCAGAATTGGTTAGTTGGTGGTGTGTTCCTGTTAGTGGCTCGGGTCTTCTGTTTCGCGTTGGGCAGAGGTTGAGGCAAACTAAACAACTTATTAAAGTGTGGAATGTTGAAGTTTTTGGTAAGGTGCAGCTGTAGATTGAGAGTCTCCTTAAAAGGATCAAGGATATTGACGAGGCAGAGGAGTTGGGACCGATTTTGTTTGCTTTGAACAATGAGAGAAGCCTGTTGAATTGTGAACTGGACAGAACGCTTTTGATGGAAGAGATTTCATGGCGGCAGAAGTCTCGCGAGGTGTGGATTAATGTGGGGGATAAAAACTCCTCTTACTTTCATCGTGTCGCCAATAGTAATGGTCGAAAGAATAGAGTGTCCCATCTGAAAGTTAATGGCATCATTATTAATGACAAGGAAGGAGTGAAGCAGGTCATTATTGAGCACTTCCAGAGCAGGTTCTTGGAGGAAAGATGAGGGCGGCCCTTTCTTAGTGACTTCAAAAGGAATGTGTTTACTTTGGATGATAATTATACTCTGTCGAGACCATTTTGCGAAGCGGAGGTGTGGAATGCAGTCTGCTCGTGCGGAAGGGACAAGGCGCCGGGTCCCGATGGATTCACTTTGGAGTTTTACAGGAAGGCATGAAAGATTGTTAAGGGGATGTGCTCAAAGCGGCGAATGAGTTCTCTTTGCTGGGCTATTTGCCAGAATCGATCGGTCATTCGTTTCTTTGTCTGATTCTGAAAAAGGAAGTTGTTGAGGAGGTGAGAGACCTTCGACCTATCAGCCTCATCGGCAGCCTTAATAAGCTCATTTCCAAGCTTCTTTTCAACCGCCTTCAACCATTTATGAGCCGTGTTATCTCGATGAAGCAGTTTGCCGGAATTAAGAAGAGACAAATTCACGAGGCTGTCCTTATTGGGAATGAATTGGTGGATAGTCTGAAGAAAAGTGGTCGTCCGGGGATTGTGTTCAAACTAGATATCGAGAAGGCGTTCAACACAGTTAGTTGGGAATGCTTATTCAAGATTCTGCATAATATGGGATTGTGTCCGAGGTTCCAAAAGTGGCTTAGAGGCGTGGTCACCACTCCTAAATTGTCGGTTCTAATCAATGGTGAAGCAGCGGGCTACTTTGATCGGCAACGAGGTCTTAAACAGGGTGATTCCTTATCTCCTTTTCTATTCAGCCTGGTAATGGATATTTTTTCTTACATTATGGATCAAGCACAAGAAGTGGGGATGATTAAAGGGTTCTATATGGATGATTCGAGTAAACTGGGTGAAGTTAATCACCTTCTTTATGCTGATGATGCGATTGTGTTTTGTGAAGCTACTGAGGAGGCTGCCATTAACCTTACAGCGACCCTGATTTGGTTCCAAAGTATCACTAGTTTGAGGGTGAATTTTGAGAAGAGCAAAGTATGTTTGGTGGGTGAGGTCGAGATTATAGATCGGATTGCGGAAATTCTGGTTGTGAGTGGGGTTTTCTCTATACTGATTATCTGGGTTTCCCCCTAGGTACATCGTCGTCGAGTGTTGCTGCTTGGAATGTTGTTATTAACAGGGTGGAGCGCAGACTGGCTGATTGGAAGAAAAGCTTCCTTTCGCTTCGGGGAAGAATTACCTTGTGTTAAGCTGTCTTATCTAGTCAGCCCATTCACTTATTTAGTCTCTTCAGGGCACCTAGCATTGTCATTAATCGGCTAGAGAAAGCTTAGCGAGATTTTATATGGTCCGGAGGTCCCGATAATGGGAAAATTCATCTGGTTGCTTGGAACGTTTGCAAAGGGCCTAAGAAACTTGGCGGTCTCGGTATTCACTACAAGAAAACAACTATTTAGTGTCGGTTATTTTATATGTTTAGTGTCGGTTTTAACCGACACTAATTTTTTTTGTGTCGGTTCACTTAACCGTCACGAAACCTTCCGACACTAAACCGATTCGTGTTGTTTTTTGACAACCGCTGGAGTAACCGACTCGAATTGTATTTATGTCGGTTATTTTGTGTCAGTTATAACTGAAACTAATTATTTATCAAGAAATTTCCTTTTTTTTAATTGGAAGTATTATCTGTGTCGGTCCACTAACCGACTCCAATATGAAGTTTTTTTAATAAAAAAAATGTCGACCAGTGGCTGGTGGCTACTCCAATTTCTTGCCTTTCAGCTTCTCTCCCCTTCTTCTTCCTCGTCAAACCAAAAACAGATCAAGACTATCGGAATAAACAGAACAACTGTTCTTCATTCACAAACCCAGAAATTACAACCCCCTAAACATCAATTACAACCCTTGTAAACACTTGAAAATGTGAACTTCAAACTCAACCACCACATAAACGCAAAAACCCACAGAAAAGGATCCTATCTCCTTCCAAAAAAACCGAATCCATAGTTACCTTTTCTCCTCAAACCCAGAAATAGACCCAAAAAACAAAAACACAAAAAAAAATGCATCAGAATCCATCTCCGTCGTTGCCGCAAGTCTCCCACCTTTGGCCTGGCGCTCGTCGACCTCCACCTCCGCCACCAGCTCCTCCTACCTCCATCGCCTCACCTTCAGCCTCCACCTCGCAGGAACCTCAGCCTCTGCCGAAGCAAAACCTGCAAAAAACCTAGATTAACTCATGGATTTTTAGTTCCCGATGTCGCCTGTCGATCTCTCCATCATCGTCGCCGATCTGGCCGATCGTCGCCTATCGATCTCTCTGCCATCTTCCCTGGATCTGGCCGATCATCACTTTTCGATCTCTCTGCCATCTTTGCTGGATTTGGCTGATCGCGCCCTCTCAATCTCTTCGCCATAGCCGTCTGGCCTCTCCACCATCGTCGCCGGATCTCGCCAAAGTAAACAGCTAGCGATTTTGAGATAGGAATCGAAGGAAGGAGATGAAAGAAGGGTTTATTCTCATTGAGAAAAGACGAGCAGCCGAGCAGGTGAATGGTTTATTTTTGGAGAGGAACGAAGAAGGAAGGATGAGAGGATAGAAGGAAAGTTGAATGGCGTGTGATGAGATTGGGCAGAGGGGTTTCTTTATTTGGGGACTGGGGTAAGGGATTGTATTTTCCTTTTTCACTTTTTTATAGATGGGAAATTTTTCAATTTGTTAGGAGGGAAGTTTCGGTGGACATTGAAAATTTTTGGAGCCAAAATAGCCTATCATTTTTGTCAAAATTCAAAAGTATAAGAATTGTGTCGGTTAGAGTAATAACCAACACAAA